AACGGGAGCAATAAACGAGTCATTCACCGCTATTATCAAGCCACACACACCTATTGGAAGCATTTTATTTGTCTTTGTACATGTGAACAAACATGCATTTGCTTTGTAAATAACGGCTAAGTTCAGTTTCATTGTGATAACAATGCATTATGCGATGATAGAGCTTTCAGTAAGTATTCAAATACTGGCTTTTTGATATTGTTGGGATGAACAAAACGTAAATCCTCTGGCAGAACATAAAAGAATTTCACAATTGAGTCAGAGATCTGTCGGCGAGCAATATTCCAATGCGAGACGATATTTGATTGCAGCACATCACTTTTGATTGACAAATAGATAAATGGCTTGTTTTGAAAGGGAGAATATATGCTCCGTAGCATATTGTTATGTTTGGATAGATAGCAATCCTTAGGAGGTTGTACGAGGAAAGCGAAATGACAAGATATTCATCTAACCGACGACACCATATTACCCACTTAACTCAATTAGTGTGTAGAATACCAATCGATTTCCCGGGTCAACGGTCAACTTCTTTGGCACTGTTATAATGACAACTATCATCTATGAGGACGCTCATTGATTATCACACATTTTGGGATGTGCAAACTAAAACATCGTTAACAATTTTGAATGTTTTAACGTTAATACAATGGCGATGTCGGTACATAATTATATTCGCCGACGTTTCGTTTATCGTGGGTGACCTTTCTCGAGGAAGGTTAACAATCGAAATCGTTAACAATTCCTGCTTACTTCGCTTTTGGAGAGCACCTTTTTCCAAAAATGAATATTATACTTGATGAGAATGAAAGGCATTTGGAGACCGTTTACTGGATTTCCGGTCGCAGTTTTATGGATTTATCTACCAAATAAAATTATAATTTTACGGATTCCATGCGATTAATTCATTCTCGGGTAGACACGGTTAAGAAGTAGCTCATATTCTGCAAGCATATGATAGCTGAACAATGAATATTACGACTTTCTGCGTCTCCTTCAAGACAAATGAACAGATTAGTCGGCGTAGTAACGGGAAGACACTGACCCGCAAACGACTTCCTTTCTCAAAATTCTCCATTGTATATCACTACATCACACCTTTGATTCCACAATCCTGGGTGCCACAACAGGCAAAACATATGTGCAGAATCGAAGCAACGGAGCAGAATTTTCAACGTGCTTGGAGAAACCGAATACTGTAGATTTCAATGCGCCTAACAATTACGTGAGTAAAGAGGTGCAATTTAAAACAATATGAACGTTTGATATCATTAACGTCTCAAGCCAACAATAAATTTAAGTCACCAAACAGAAAACGCAGCGGAGAGTGAAACGAATATCTGGGTTTTGCGTTTTTGGTGTGTGTGCTGAGTGAAGAACTCCACAGTAAACCAGGAAGGACAGCGAAGCAAAAGGTTATTGCTGGTTAACAGCTCTACTCATGACATCCGAGAATCTGTGGAAGGCTAGAAATACAGACAATCGTTGAACGAGGAACAAATAAAATTTCATAACACAATTCATTAAGTGAAAAATGTGTCGACATTATTGAAATGGAACATTTACGTAAGCAGTAGCCTGATCAAAGGAAAATGGCTTTTACATATAGTATCCTCTCAGATAATGAATGGTTTAGTGCGAGTTAGCAAAACTATGAATAATTGAATTCTGTTAGATTCAGCAGTTTCCAAAATACTGAGTAACGGGCCTCGCTTCTTTACAACTTCACATGGATTTTGTTATTCAGGAATCCAACAAACAGACAACTATAACTGACGGCAGAATAAAACACACGCACACAAAATGTGATCAGCTGTTGAGAGCTGTCACCAAGTTGGGAATTGAGGCAAATCTACTTATCGTTTTAGTTTGCTTGGAAGGAAATAAAACTATTTCCCATGAGGACGGTCACGAGTAAAACGACTAAGCTGATCGTTTTTGAAAACAGAACAACCTAAACGAGCCGCATCAAACAACAACGGGTTCAACGAATTGTGATGTCGATCAACGTCTTTTTAAGAAAGTCAACGTGTCCAACATTGTTACCGAACGTATAACGTTTACGGTATGTGGATTAGTCACAGTCATTTTTCGGTTCCAGTTAATTGTAGGTTCATTAAAGGTTTTGAACTTCGAATAGGGCGTTATGTCACCAATCCTGGGTACCTCATTGATGTGACAACCCTCCAAGTGCTGATAAACGAATTACAAGATAAGTCGAACTGTAAGATAACCAAAGTAATTAAGAGCAACGGAAAGAGGAAACAGCGGAGTCAACAGTCTCCAGACTTTAGTGAACACAAATTATCAACCAAAAGCGGTATCAGTTGACACAAATTATGTAGCTGTTGTTCTTCAACGCCTACAAACCTCCATCTCTATGCACTGTTACGTGCAGAGGACGTGAGTAAGAGTCCACCATAACGTGCCCAATCTGCTTCTGGAAACATACCCTAGGTCTTCTAATTACACCGTTCGAAAGTCAACCAGTACACACTACGTCTGAACCGTATGACTAGAACAAACCTATCCTATTGGTAACTTATCAAACTATGCTTACGTTTTTACCAGGTATATGTTTCCTGTAAATATAATAATAAATTCCTTTTTCACATATCGCAGAACCAACGACCTCAATAACTTTAAAATAAGGACGAATTTGCGAGTGAGAAGTACAGGAAACGCAATAGCAAGTCTGTCTTTGGGTTGGACAATAGGACATAATAAATACATGGGTATGTCTCATTTCAAATTCCACATCCATGTACAGTTCCATGGTTATTCAAACAGTCATGACATTCTGTTCTACAACACCACTACAGATTATAGAAACCAAAATTGCAGCCTACATTTCTTGAAATCCCGGTGCGTGTGGAAACACTGACTCCAAACTGTTTAGCTCAGGATTGATGGTGTTTCTTATTCGGGTGAATACCTTGCGTCGATAACAAGGTATCGGGGTTTCTATCCCAATCAATTCACCCTCTTCTCCAAACAAAATTCTAAAAGAAATTCTCTCCAGTTTGATTTAAATGCAGTAGTTCATTTTCATGGGAAAATGGTACTTGAACGATTTGTGCACTGCTGTATTCTTCCTTTTCTTTTGTGTGACAATTCCGCATTTATTTTAACCCCGCAGTCGGTGCCTGAACACCCAGAATGACAGGCCTTGTTTTCATTCAGTAAAACCAAAGACAGCGTTTGATTGAGCCATTTTCATGCGCAGGCTTCCTCCAATTTGAACCGTATCGTCAATCTTCTCCGAGACACAAGAAGTTCGTAAATGATTACATTCAACCAGTTCTTGTTGTTGTTAAACCGGTGTTTAGGTTCGGGAGTTATTGCAAAAGTAGACGCCTAACTGTCAAACCTGTATCCGTGAAAACCGTACGCTCTTTTGTCAATGACCCATTAACCGGATTAGATTCTCCAATTTGAACAAAATTATTGTTCGCCATCTGACGCTGGTTAATACTAATAAATTCATTTAAATTAAATCATTGCTTGAGGTTACTTTACTTTGCTCTGCATTTTCTGACCATTTAGAGATCAAACTGCTTCCCTCTATGGACAACCACTAGCGTTTAAATAGTAGTTTTTGATTAAGTCGCCAATTCTATAGTTCACGAAAAACATTAGGGATAGGTTGGACAATCAACCAGTGCGCAATCCTAATCAAATAGTAAATACACAGTGGAGGAGGAAGTATCGGCTCCGGAATTCTACGCGATCGACATACTGAATTATGATCCACATTCGCATATTATCGAATCACCATCAGCAGCAGCGTCTTTATTCCCACCGGCAAACGGACGAGTGTCTCATTTTATCACCGGTTCACTTGTGCATTACTAGCTTTGAGACTCAAGTCGCCCGCTTTGATTTTTTTCTGGGAAGGTAGAGCGAGATTTGTTTTGGTTGAACACCACTCAGATGGAGTAGTCAGGTATGGTGGTCCCTCAAAGCAAAAGCGTTGTAACCACCAGTTCATCGAGGTCTACGTCGGTTGTTTCAAAGACGAATCGACAGACGAAATGTTTTGTCCCTGGTTATCAGGCCTTAACAGAAAATGCTCCATGGTTGAAATCTTCCTGCAGCTGTGACTTTACCGGATTTCCAATTAAGATTACCAATAATCATTGTACCAAGAAGCTGAAGCTCTCATTAATGATTTGGATGAAGAGCTCGCCAAAGCATGTCACTGTGAGGTTTCCTATTGATCTTGCGGCACAGCTACGGAAATTTAATTAATGAATACTCCGAAATGACTCCAGTACAGTAGTCTTTCAAGCGAATATATACAAAGCTATCGGGCATCTGGGTAAGATGATAAACTCAGAGAACTGGAAACAAAAGCCGCAAAACCGACTGGGATATAAAAATAATAAATCCTTG